CTTCCACGCCAAAACTTTCACGGGTCGTACGTGGTACCACAGAATAGAGGAGGGCTGAATTTAAACTTGTGCGGTCGTACTTGGACAGGGAGCATTACTGTAAAATTTGAGCTTCCTGGCTTTTATGCTTTTCGAGATAATAATTTTCTCACCAAGATTTTCACGGAGCCGTACGTGATTCCCGAGTGGGCGGGAAAGCTGGGTTTAAATTTACGAAGTCGTACGTGTGGTGAACGAATGAAGAAATTAGAAAAAACGTTCTTTTAGTCACATACCAAGAATTACATTGAGTCGTTTCGCTTAATATAAGCTGATATCACGTCTAATACTTCTCGTTGGCTCGGTTTGATATAGGAAAGCGATTTAAATGCTGAGAAGTAGTTAATAATTGATAAGACAAAATAGCAGAGTGCGATTATTAATCACTTGCGACGCGCACCGGGCGGGCCCCTACGATCATGCGTTTTTGCAGTATTTCGTGCTGTAATGAGATCGCTCGGAAACCTGGTAGCTAGGATTTGTGACATACTGGTTCTCGAAGTTCGTGAAGTTAATTGTCTACGCGGTACTTGGAGAGGGAACATATCGCTAAAATTTCAGCTTTCCACCGGTTCTTGAGTTAGCGATTTTCCCGCCAGAAAATTTCATGGGCCCGCACATGAGAACCACACGTATCTGAGAGCTGAATTTGATATAACTTTTACGGGGGCTGGGAACATACCCTGAAAATTTCAGCCTTCCAGATTTCCGGTTCCCTAATTAGCCATTTTCCCACCAGAAACTTCTATGGGGCCGCACATGAAAACCACGCACACCGAGGGGCTGAATTCAATAATTTTTTACACGATCTGGGAAGATTCCCTGAAAATTCCAGTCCCCCAGCTTTCCTGGTTCCTGAGTTAGCCGCCAAAAAATTTCACGGGGTCTTGTGTGGTAACCACGTATGCCTAGGGGCTGAATTCAATGATTTTAAGTTATACATGTGCTGGAAACATTCCCTGAAAATTTTAGCTTTCCAGCTTTTCTGGTTCCCAGTTTAGCGACTTCCGTGCCAGGAACCCTCGCGAGGCCATGCATGGGTACTACGCACATTTGGGGGCTGAATTTGAAATCTTTGAGTTCTATAAGGACGGAGAACATAACCTCAAAATTTTAGCGCTCTAGCTTTTCTGGTTCTTGAGTTAGCTATTTTCTCGCCAAAACTTTCACTCTGTTGTACGCGGGGCGTAGACGTGCGTGAGGATCGATAACGCAGTCCTGGGGCGACACTTGTTCGTGGAACCTGCTGGCAAAATTTTGACGCCGGAGCTTGCTTGGGTGCCAAGTTTAA